GGAGGGTTTTGAGGCCGCGGAAAATTCCGGAAACGACGAAAACGCGGAAGCTGCCCTGGCACAGCTCGGGGGAGTCCTGCACCTCCTGCAATTAGCGGTAATTAACGTTAATTAGTACTCATTAACCCCTCCGCGCACCCCACAAAAAATAATTAATTATAATTAATTTATAATTAATATTTAAGTAATGTTGTCTGGTTACTGTCGGTTGTTATTTGGTAATTACAACAGAATGAATGCTAATTGTTCGCTAATCAAAATCAATTAATTATTATTAATAACCACCCATTCGCCTTTACTTATAATCAAAAAGAAAATAATTATAATTAACACCCCAACCACTAATTATTACCAATTAAGTATTAATTAACACTAATTAAATGCTAATTAGCAACTATTAACCACTAAAAAGCATAATTTTGGAAAAAATTAACACTAATTAACACCTATTAGACTTCCAATAAAACTGCAATGTAATTAACAATATATAATGCAATTAATTAGAAATATAATTACCACTCTCATTCACTAATTACCACCGATCAAAAACTAATTGACAGCTGCAAATCACTAATTAATAGCCATTAATCAGTAATTACGACCAAGAAGCTGCTAATTAACGCCTGTTAGACTCTTATTAACACGCTTTAATTACTAATTAACACCCGCTAGCCACTAATTAACAATCCCAAACCACTAATTACCAGCCGGTAATTGATAAATAGCTACCATTACCTACTAACAAGCAGCGAATAGGGGTTAATTAGGAGGCAATTATGCACTAATTAAATCACTTATGGAGTTAATATAGCCTTTATTAACATTGACTCATTAACCTTAATTAAGCACTGACCATAAAAAGTGCGTTTAACTAAGCCCCTAGTAAGCCCTTCCATCACTTAATTAACACCTCCCATCACTAATTAACCCCTCCCAGTCCTTATTAATACCCTAATTAGCCTAATTAACTCTATATAACCCCTCCCCGGCCGACCCCCAACTGCTCATTAACCGCCATTCCGGCTAATTCCTCCCTTCCCAGCCTAATGAACCTGCTGCCAGCAGTAATTAACGCTTAATCAATTAATTAACGAATTAATTACCACGTGCTCGGCCTGGAGCCGCTCCTGGAGCCGCAGCCGCAGCTCCTCGGCTGTGGGAGGCTCCATTTCCGCTTCCGACTGCGTCACTTCCGCTCCGCGTGGAGTCTTGTGGGTACCGAGGCGGATACAGATGAATTTCATTGTGGGTAACGAGGCAAAAAGACGTTTTGCAAAGGATTGTGGGTAACAAGGCGGAAGTAAAGCCCTGCCTTTTCTTGAGGTACCAGTACGAACCAGTTTGGACCTCTAACGGTCAAGTGACGTCACTAAAGGCACCGGTAACACCGGGTAAAGAGCGGAGCGGGCCCCAATCCATCTCAGTCAAAGGAATCGCGGTGCATTGTGGGTAACGAGGCAAAACCTCCGCCATTTTTACCGAGGCAAAAACCCGGAAGCGCCGCTTTGTGCGCAAAGCAATGTGGGTACCGAGGCAACCATTCCGCCATTTTTACCGAGGCAGAAATCGGAGCATTAAACGTCAATTTTCTCCTCTTCTTCTTCTTCCTCCTCCTCCTCCTCCTCCTCCTCCTCCTCTTTCTCTTTAATGCATTTTGCCGCCGTTTTTACTAGAGCGAATATATAGAAAGCTCCCCTCACGAGTCGCAAGGCATTGTGGGTACCGTGGCAAAACCGCCGCCATTTTTACCTAGGCAAAATACCTTTTTATCCCCTCACGGGCCGCAATTCATTGTGGGTACCGAGGCAAAACTTTTCCCACCTTCCGAGGCGGAAGTGATTACATTTAACCTGAAGTGGCCGTGGTGCATTGTGGGTAACGAGGCAAAAGTTTTTCTCCTTACTGAGGCGGAAGTCAGTTCGTTACCCTGCACGTCGCCGCAATGCATTGTGGGTAGCGAGGCACAAATCCTCCTGATACCGAGGCGGAAAATATTATATTTAACTTGAAGTGGCCGCGATGCATTGTGGGTACCGAGGCACAAGTTCCCCCTCTTACCGATGCAGAAGTGGATCCGTTTAACTTTAAGCGTTCGCGGTGCATTGTGGGTACCGAGGCACTAATCCTCTCACATACCGAGGCTGATATTATCACATATAACCAGAAGTGGCCGTGTTAAAGCATTAAACCGCACGTCGGCGCAATGCATTGTGGGTACCAAGGCACAAATCCTCTCCTTACCGAGGCGGAAGTGATTTCGTTCACTCAGAAATTCCGCGGTGCATTTTGGGTACCGAGGCAAAAACTGTAGCCATTTTTATCGAGGCAAAACCCCATGAGAGCCGCCTAATGCGCAATGCATTGTGGGTTCCGAGGCGCAAATTTTCCCCCACACGGAGGCGAAAGTGATTTCCTTACACCGCAAGTCACCGCAAAGCATTGTGGGTACCGAGGCACAACTCCTCTCCTTACCGAGGCGGAAGTGATTTCGTTCAACCAGAAGTCCCGCAGTGTATTGTGGGTTTCAAGGCACTAATCCCCTCACATACCGAGGAAGATATTTTAACATATCTTTTTTAACCAGAAGTGGCCGTGTTAATTCGTTAAACAGCACGTCTCCGCAATGCATTGTGGGTACCGAGGCACAAATCCTCTCCTTACCGAGGCGGAAGTTGTTTCGTTCAACCAGAGGTCCCGCTGTGCATTGTGGGTACCGAGGCAAAAACTGTAGCCATTTTTATCAAGGCAAAACCCCATGAGAGCCGCTTATTGCGCAATGCATTGTGAGTTCCGAGGCACAAATCCTCCTGATACCGAGGCAGAAATTATTATATTTAACCTGAAGTTGCAGCGATGCATTGTGGGTACCGGGGCACAAGTTCCCCCTCTTACCGAGGCGGAAGTAGATCCGTTTAACCTGAAGTGGTCGCGGTGCATTGTGGGTACCGAGGCAAAAAAACCCTCTCTTTACCGAGGCGGAAGTGGTTTCGTCCAACCAGAAGTTCCGCGGTGTATTGTGGGTACCGAGGCACTAATCCTCTCACTTACCGAGGCAGTTAATATAACATATAACCAGAAGTGGCCGCGGTGCGTTGTGGGTAGCGAGGCACAAATCCTCTCTTTACCGAGGCGGAAGTGATTTCGTTCAACCAGAAGTCGCCGCAATGCATTGTGGGTACCGAGGCACAAACCCTCTCCTTACCGAGGCGGAAGTGGTTTC